TGAGCTCCACAACTAACATGGGGCTTGAACTCCAACTCTGAGATAAAAAGTCACATGCTTTACCCCCTGAGCCAGCCAAGTACCCCTTAAAAATATTTTTAAAGGCACTAGTGTCTCACTCTGGAAGTTTTGAGTCCTTTGAATGTGATATTTAAATGTGGCTCAATTTTTGTTATAAAGCACTTTCTGGTGCTAATTACTTGGTAGAGACGAGTGTTATGGTAAATGAGGTGTTTATCTAGCACAACAGCCTTCTAATATTAATTGATGAACAAGTAGTCTTGTTAGATATATTTTATAAATAGCTTTATGATGAAGAAAATAAAAAATATGCTGTTTCCTAATTTTTGCCCAATAGTTTCTTATCAGACTTTTTTTTTCACTTGAAGTTATATTTAGCAATATAAAAAAAACAATAAAATTTTACTTATTTACTAGATAGACATTCAGAAATAGTAACCATTTAGAATATAGTTAAAACTCCTAATCCTAAAAGAACTTTAAGAATAAGGTAAGAGCGTGGGCACCTGGGTGTCTCAGTTGATTAAGCATCTGTCTTCAGCTCAGGTCATGATTCCAGGGTCCTGAGATTGAGCCTCACATCAGGCCCCATGCAGGGAGCCTGTTTCTCTGTCACCTGCTCTCTCTGCTTGTGCTCTTTCCCTATCTCTCTCTGTCAAATAAATAAAATCTTAAAAAGAAAAAAAGGAGAGAGAAATAGGTAACAATTAGGAAAATCTCTAGCTTTATCTAGTGGAGAAATCACTACTATTTTCTCTGTTCATATTAAAGCAAAACAAGACATCAAAGAAACTTTAAAAAGAATAGTATAGGAAAATATAAATTTATATAAAACAATAAAGCTGGTAAAGCACATCAGCTTAACATCCTGGAGGAAATCAACAACATAATATTATGCATTGATTCAAAAAGCATTTTTAAAATTTTATGCTTATAAAAAAGAGTGTAGAGATTTAGCACTAAAAGAACATATAAGTAACACCAAGATTTGAAGGCAAAAAAAAATTGTCATGACTTGCAGTTTATATGATTTTCCACATCAGATCTCCAAAAGGATAAGATTTGAAATCCCCTACAGCTAATAAAAGAGGTCAGAAATAATGTGAACAACATATAAAAATCAGTGCTCCTGTGCCCAGAAGTAACCAATGAAGTATATAACTTTAAAATATCCTCATTAATAATAGTATCAAAACTCAAATTTTGGAGAAAGATAATAATAAGCATATGCAAGATCAGTGTGATGAAAGGAAGAAAATATTTTGAGATACATAAAGGTCCTGAATATATGAGGAAATAAATAATCCTTAAGATTCTGAAAGTCAGTATCAAGATATCAGTTCTCTCCAAATTAATACATACATTCAAGACTATCCCACTGAAAATTTCACCAAGAATTTTATGGAATGTTATAAATCGGTTCTATAATACATGTGAAAGAGTAAAAAGCAAAGAACTACACAAGATAATTTTGAAGGTGAAATAATACAGACTTGCTCACTCAGATGTCATCTGTTTATTTAACTACAGTTAAAGATGTGGACTTGGTAAAAATATTTTTCAATGCACAGGATTAGAGTGTTCATAAACAACAAACATACCCATGTGGGAATTTGATATGTAGCAGAAGTAGTGATGGAAACCGTGAACAAAATAGGTATTGGTACCACAATCTAGTTGTAAAAGTTGGCTGTCTGTAAGGGAAAAGTTCAAATTGCATGCTTGTTTCCAACTGTAAACCAAAAGAAAGAACACTTGAGACCAAAAAAAAAAAAAAGGGAACGTATACATACATTTATTTTTGGGGAGAAAACTTGATGAAATAACTTTATCATCTCAGAGTAGAATATGATTCCTTAAATAGAACATTGAACATTAAGAGCACAAATTCTAAGGTTGAAGATGAGTATGTTTGACTACATTAAAAAGTAAAACCACTGTTTCATCCTATGTTTTCTATAAGAAAGTATAATGGAGGGCAGCCCCGGTGGCTCAGCGTTTTAGTGCTGCCTTCAGCCCAGGTCATGATCCTGGAGACCCAGGATCGAGTCCCATGTCTGGGTCCCTGAATGGAGTCTGCTCCTCCCTCTGCCTGTGTCTCTGCCTCTCTCTCTGTCCTCTCTGTGTTCCACATAAATAAATAAAATCTTTTAAAAAAAGTATAATGGATAAATTACTGAACATTCATTTGAATGGAGTATTCAAAATGAATAAACTTCTTTGAAAAATATTTAATTATTTATTTGAGAGAGAAAGAGAATGGGTAGGGAGGAGAGGCAGAGGAAGAAGGAGAAGCAGACTCCCTGCTGAGCAGGGAGCCTGACGCCAGGATGGATCCCAGAACCCTGAAATCATGACCTGAGCCTAAGGCAGATGCTTAACCAACTGAGCCACCCAGGAGTCCCTAAAGTGAATATACTTGATTTAAATTTACACCATCAACAAATCTGTGGAACATATTATTGAATAAAAAAAATTAGAATGATGGGAATATCTTGATGCTATTTATGTTTTTTTCTAAAATAAACCTTAGATATCCTCAGATGGCAAGGATTCACATCCATTTTCAGACATGGTGGCCTCTGGGAATGGGAGGAATAGGTTGCAGGTAGTTGGTGAAAGTTGACAATGGGAACAAATGATCTGAAAGGTTCTATTTTTTAAAAAGACTAATACATTGGAAAGAAAACTGACAACACATTGACAATTCTTAATGCATGCAGGTGCATGGGCATTTGTTAAATTAGTCTATGTATAATTTTTTTCATTTTTGGAATATTTAGTAATATGACATGAAAATATTACCCTGGCTATAGAGAAGGAAAGAATGGAATGGTACCAAAATAATGGCACCAAAATACTCCTGATATCAGAACCTGAAATTAATATAAAAAGGAAACAACACCGATAAAAAATAAATTTATAAAAAAATAAAAAATAAAATAAAATAAAAAATAAAAAGGAAACAATAGCACATGGATATCTATACAAAACATCATCAAATGTTAGCAAATAAAGTACAAAAGTACATTAAAATACCATTAGAGCCCAGTAAAGGGGAGGGGAGGTTTCTTCCAGAAATAAAAATTCACTTCAGTATTAGGAAATTATAAATACAATATACCATGTCGAGGTTCTAAAATGAGAAGTAAAAAACCCTCATTTCAGAAAATAGTGAAAGAACACTTAATCATTCACCCTCCTCCATTCCTGATTTTAAAAATAATAAGAATGAAATTTTGTTAAAATTGATGTTAGTGTTCTTATTTAAAAAGATTTTCCTTTTTCAAATATTTTCATAAAGAGTCATAAATATTTTTTAAATATTAAGAATTATGAATGCTGTATATACACTTCCTAGTGTTGTAAGGTTTATTTGTACATTCTTAATATGAAATAATTTATATAGCTCTAACAGTCAATGTCATGCTTAATTGTAAAAAAAAAACTGTTTTTGTAAAATTCAGGAGTTAGACAATATCCTTCTCAACAGTTTTATTTAAAATTGTTCAGTTAGTAGTAATGAAACTAAGTATACATGTTAGAAAGTAAGTTATAGGTATTAGACAAGGAAAAAACAGTTGTAGTTCTTTATTTATAGATTGTGTGACTATATTCTTAGAAACCCCCCAAGAGTGAAATGAAAGGCTATTTGAAACAATAAGAAAAATCAGTAAAGTTACTAATTAAAAATAATATGTACAAATTATTAGCTTTTATTAATTATCTCCTTAAAATATATAATGGGAGAAATGATTAAATTTAAAATAGCAAAAATAAGCAGGAAAAATATATAATATCTACAAAAATAGAACTTTAACAAGGCATAAAATGTTTTTAGTAATAGGTAAACAAGGAAAAGGAAGGTTCAGTATTTAAGATGCAATAATTTGCCTCTTCTGAGTTGAGGTAAGAGTGACTTTTTCAAGCTCTTATGTGCCAACAGCTGATCACAAATTATCTTATTTCATCTTCTGGATCACTTGTGATTTAGAAAAGAAAGTGAGGCTCAAGTTTTGAAATAATTTTCCCATGATTTCACTCGTGCTTCATGTTGTAATTATCGTGGGTTGTTTTCTTATTTGTCCTAATTTGCTTGTTGCTTGGAGGCAGAGCCGTGTCTTCTTTGCATTCATGTCTCCCATGACCACTGTCACATAGATACTGGGCTTCAAAACCAAGCTCTGGCTTGTCATTCTCTAGGACAGGGTCACAAATCCAAAGGCCGATGGCAATTCAGCAGGCAAAGCACAGACCTGGTTGAATGTAGGAAGTTCTAGCCCATCATTTCCTGGTGGTAAAAAATTTGAAAATTTTAAGATTTAGATTTTTAAACATTGTCAGCCTATTTATTTATTTAAGCCTTTATTTATTTATTCATGAGAGACACAAAGAGAAAGAGGCAGAGACATAGGCAGAGGGAGAAGCAGGCTCCATGCAGGGAGCCCGATCCAGGACTTGATCCCAGGACCCCAGGATCACGCCCTGAGCCGAAGGCAGATGTTCATCCACTGAGCCACCCAGGTTTCCTCACTGGCAGCCAATTTAAAAAGTAATTACTCTCCACAGTTCCAGTAAACCTTACTGTTGGCAAAATTTGGTCTGTGGCTTGACTCTGAGACTTTGGATTAATAATACTACCTGACTAAATTCTGGTTAATCTTAGAGCAAAAAACTGAATACAGTTGATGGGGTAATGGGATTTCCAGGTATGAAGCTACTGTGTTGTCTATTTCAGAGTGTGACTGGCCTATTCATTTCTAGATCTCCTTCATTCTATTGCCAATTCTAGAACTGTTAACCATGTTTGCATGTGTGTGTATGTGTGTGTGTGTGTGTTAACCTGTCTATAATTGTTCCTAAAAGCTACTGTAAATAGAAGGTCCTGGACTTAATTTCCTTAAGTCAAAGCAAAGGCTTTTAAGATTACTCCCATTCTGATTTTTCAAATAATCATTTTTGCCTTGTCTTCCCATCAGGTATTTGTAGTCACTGTCTGGAATTTTGAACTGTACATGATCCCCCTGGCATTGTTGCTACTCTTCATCTACAACTTCATCACACCCACAAAAGGGAAGGTTGGCAGCATCCAGGACAGCCAGGTGAGCAAAGATTCCAGTAATTGTGACATTTGATTAGAGAAACATGTGGTTAACAACAACAAACTACTACCACATCATGACCCAGCTCAACTAGGTGTGAGACTGGAGGAGCAACATTGCACATACATTTATGTTACAATGGGGGTCTTTTATTGGGTATAACCTGGAGTCCTTCTATGTTATGTTCCTGAGTTCTGGCCTACATTCTTAGCATGAGTAGAGCCCTCTGGTGTTTGGTCATCTTTACCATTCCAGCAGTATATTTTAATATGTGCCCACCTGGTTATCTGTAAGGTTCCTATGAATGGCATTCTCAACCACAAAAAAGCCTTTGGCATCTCCTTGAGCTCTTTCAGGGCACAGAAAGCATCGGAGAGGCTACCATAGCCTCCAGACAGCCTTTGCAGTGTTCACCTCTGGCCTGAAGCCTTCAGAGGCTTGCCAACTCCCAGGGAGATCAGAGAGTGGGCAGGCATGGGCACCTCAACTTTTGGGCTCCCAGGTCCTGAAAACCTAAAGCTTCCCATGGTATTGAAGGAAGTACCAAGAAGACATCTTCTAACATCTATTTATCATATTTCTTCTCTGACCCAGCATCCTGTCTTTCATTTATCCCACCCAGAGGATCTTTTCCTGCTCTGGGTGAGCAGGAACTTGTATTCCTAGACTTGCTTTATGGCATTATCTTGGCATTCCAGATTTAAGAAACAAATTTTTAAAACAGAAATCTAAAATTTTGAGACTTGGTAGTAGACCTTCACATTGTTTTTTCAAGACTCAAGAGCTGACCATCTTCACCCATTTTTCTATACAGTGCTATTATTTTTAAAAAATATATATGAAATAATGGATATTAAAGGGATGATCTGATTTCATTTGGGGTAAAAGGGAAGTAGAGAAAATGAGTTTTTGGCAGGGAGTGAAAACCTCAAACAAATTCAAACTTCTATTCCGTTTGATATTTGATTGTTTAATGCAGTAGGCATGGGCGTAGATCACTAATGCCTTAAAGACCTAAAGATGCTAGAATCAACTTTAAATAATTTTAAAGTACAGGATTGTTTAGGGACTAAGTTTCACACAGATATGGATAGTGGGAAATTTTCACAACAAAACATCTTTAGTAAGAAATACTGTTACTAATGTTTTTACTTTTTTATGGTCAGATTTTGTTTTTCACCTATATACATGATCTGTATGTTTATAGCATATATATGTGCATATGTGCAGATATATATACATACATATATGTATATACATATATACATATATGTGCAGATATATATACATACATATATATACATATATATGTATGTATATATGTCTGCCTAAGTGTGCTTAGGTAAGCTCACGAATGGGATGTTAATATGCATATACATATTTATGCATACATAAGAACACTTAAGTGTATGTGGTTATAAATGTGTGTATAAAATCTTTTAAATTTACAGAACATTTTCAAATTTAATACTTATTTTAATATTGATAACACCACCATGAAGGAGATAAGAATTACTATTTTTATTTTATGCTTGATGAAAGTAAGGTCCAGAAGGGCAAAGTGATTTGCCCAAGGTCATATAGTAGAAAATCCTTGAGCAGTGTCCCAAGCTGAAGACTTTGCCCCAAGCTGGACTTCTAACTCCAATGTTTTTCCTCCCATCACATGTTTCTATTACATGTGTTTTTACCCAATTGCTTTCATGAAACGTGTGCTGCCAACAGTGAATTCTCCAGCATCAGTGGAGTGTCACAGAAAGTACTAACTGAAGCTCATGGAATTCTGGGAGGTAATGGAGTTCCAGTCCTGGAGAAATTGCTTGGTAACTGCTCAGTGATTTTATGGAGTATAGTAGAGTACTCTCTGGATACTTCAGAATTACTCTTTTTTTTTTTTTTTAAGAACATGCTATTGACAATTATGCTTACTACTGGCACAATGGCATCTTAACAGATGCCTGACCTTTGCAAGGTGGTTGAGCAGAAAGGTAAGCATTCAGGCTGTAATCAGACTCTGGTGTTCTAGTACCTAGCATGCTGTCTGAGCTAGTGAACCCCCTGTGTACCAACATGTGTTGGCTTTAAAATATTGCAGCAATATGATTAAAAGTTACCTGGTAAACATTCAAGATTTCTAAACCCATCCAAAAAATCCTATTCACAGCACCTGGTGTTTTGGCACCCCCAAACTAAAGCCAGGTGCCTGTTAGTGGCCATCAGAGCCTGAGGGTGCTTCACCTGCCCCCACCCACATCCCCAAATCCCAGGGAAAACAATAATAACTCACAGAAACCTGTAACTTATTCTTGAGATTGATTATATTCAGACTAATGCATTTCCTACTGTCTAATGTTGCAGTAATGGCCCCAGAGGAAAAGAGCAGTCATTATAACAATGAGCCTAGCACAAACCGAGTATGGTGTTCTCAGCCTTAACATAGCAGTTGGCTCATTTGTCAGAATAAGAACAAACTGTTTACAGAAAGTACAGCCCAGCAATGCATTTTTAAAGCTGGATGCCTTCAAAGGGCACTCGCCTAATAGCTTTATTTATAGTTAAGTTTTATGTAGATTATACATATTGTTCATGGTCTTACCACAGTGTCCCTGAACTTTAAAAGCATTATTTTTTAAGAGGCTATCATGTACTTTAAAAACACTAGTATTGCCGTTATGTAGAAAAACGCAAAAAGTGTGTATGGATTTGATATGCATTTTGTCATTGCAGTGGATGTTATATTAACCAGTTGTGGTTTTTTTCCTCTCAGGAGAGCACAGACATAGAGGAGGAGGAGGTTGAAGATGACAAGGTAAGTGTGCTTAGGCAAGCTCATGAATGGGGATGTTGTTAATATTGTCAGAAGAGAGCATTTTTCTCGTTGAGTCGACCCATATATATATTTTTTAGTACTATGGAGTGTCTGGTATAGTCACATTTTTGTATTTTATAAAAGATATCACTTTGTAGAAGTCTTATTAAGGGAGGATTAAAAAGGGTAAAAGATAAGGAATTACTGGAATATGATAAAAAGTGTACCTACAGGAGGCCTGTCATTTGATGTGAGTGAAGATCGCAAGAGCCTGCCCCCTTGGTGTAGAAAAGGTACCTAAGAGGTAGTCTAGGAAGTCAAAAGTAAATCAGGTAAAATTGCTGTTCCTTTAGGTTCCCGTCTGCACTCTGTGGGGTGGTCACCCACTTCAGAGCCTGTCAGTTTCCCAGCTGTTGCTGGCAATGGTTTCAGCTATATGTCTGCGTACATCTGTCCTTTTTCTTCTCCTGGGAGAATCTCTTCAAATCTGCTGCTTTTGTTGTCATTACGCTTTCAGACAAACCTTCTGGAATAAAATGAAACAAGTGAAAATGCCAAATGAGATGCTACCGGCTTAATGGACTTCCAGCCCCATAGAATCTGCGGGTGTCTGGGGTTTGTGATGGCCGTGCCTGGGAGGCTTGCAGGACTGGGGGGAAGGGCAAAACGGGGAATCATAAGAGTTAAGTATCCAATATAAAAAACCCAGAAAATAGCCATGAATTAAAAAACACTGGCTCCATGACACAAACAGCCTTAAAATTAATTGGGTGAGCCAGATGGTTTTGGCCATTTGAAGCAAATTGGGTGAATTACAAAGTGAATCTTATTTGTTGTGCTAAAATGATCATTAATAGCAAAACAATAAAATAAAATATATTTTTTGAACAAAATTGACTCGTTTCAGAATAAGGTCGCACAGATGCAACTTTCTTCTGGATGAATCGATGTGAGTTGCTTCTGACTAACATTTAACTCCTTGAGCAGGAAAGATAGTCATAGCCAAGCTAACATGCATGATGATGGGATGTTTTACCAAAAGAAGCACAAGTATTAATGGAATTATTTTAAACCTTTTATGAGGCAAAATTCTAAATTTTATTTACCAAGGCTTGGAAGTGAGGGAGGTTTTCTTCTGTTTGGCTATGTCTGGTAAAACAAGCCCTCTGTAGAAGAGGGTGTCATCTGCCCTTCAGAGATCATTGTGACCGTGTGTCTTTGGCCCATCTGATAAAGGAGAGCATCCAACAAAAAGGAAATGAATGAACAAGTGGTATGTACTGGCAAGCAACAAATTCAGGCCATGGAGTCTAGATCAGGGGTTGTCACAAGCCAACTTTCTAGTGGGGTGCCTCAAGGATTGTCTGGGGGGTTTGGGAGTCTGGAAGTAGAGCCAATTGGGCTATGTTTCAAGCCTTACTGGGCAAGGATGACTGAGTTAGAACCATACCATTACATGGAGGAGCCTTGGAGCTCTTGTGTTTATGCAAGCATAGCCCTCCCTAGGGGTAGGTGTACCAAACCTGCTACACACAGGGCATTGGCATTAGGACATTCCCCATTTCCCTCAGGGCAATTCTGTTCTTGAAATACTTTGATTGTAGTATTTTCATAGAGCCTTTAACGGCCACAGCATGGCCGTATTTGTTTGCTTCCTCAATTTTATATGTCTATGAAATCATCCAAAGGAATAAATCTAAAATGAAATTTTGACTTTTATTTATATGTCTTTCTGCCTAACACAACCCGTCTGCTGTTAAAGAGACTGGTGAACTTTGCAGTCCTTATCCATATCTTTTCAATCTCACATCTCCAGGAGATTTGTAAAGTATAGAGGGATTTTCAACTTTAAGACTTCTGGAGCCCACATCATCCACATATATATTACAAGCCCATCATTTCTTCTCCACATAGAGCAGATACCATGACTGAGATGCACTTGCCATAGACCAGCACATCCGGGCACTGGACCCTCCATAGTGTGCTCTATTGAAGAGCTTACCCACAGAACCCTTCTGGCTTCTGTTGCATGTTAGACATGACAGACCATGCCTCTGGGAACTGTAACACACCCAGTGAGTAATGAGCTGTTTACAAATGATAAACACACAGCCACTTCCTTCCAAACCAGAAGAAGAGAGGAAACTCCTTTCTATCCAAACTATCCATCTTGAAAGTGACACTCCTTAATTGCCAGCACCCCTTCCCACCAAATACAATCCCAGGCGACTGCAGAAGATGAAAGCATTTCGGGGCCCCCCTGGCACAGCTTCCTCGGGAGATGGACGTGTTCTGTATTCTGCCTGTCTCTGATGCACAGACCAGGACTTGGTCTGTGGTCTGTCATACTTTTATTGTCCTAAAGGGCGGTTGTTGTAAAATGACATCATTGTGGTCTCTTGTTCCTTCTCATTGTCCAAAGTCCATGGTGGTGACCTGTATGAAAAGCCAAATTAGAGTGCACAATTTTGTGTGTGTGTGTACTGTCAGATATAACATAGAATCTTCAGGTAACTACTATTTTGGCTTTTATGAAACTAACTGCACAAACCAAACTTTGAAGAGAGGAAATCTCTTTTTTTTATTCTTGATGGCCCATGTAAGAAATTGCTTGTTACAAGCGTAGTTTGCTGGGGAGCCCTGAATAAACAGATAATGGCCAAGTTCAGTCAACAGCAATCAGCTGACATTTCCTATTTGTATTAGATTCCAAATGTGGAATTCTTCTATGTGGACCTTATTTGTACGGATGGATTACAATGAAAATTGCATTAATTTTGTGCACAGTAAAGGTCAGTAATTGAAGCATGAACCAAGAAACTATTGTGTAAAATGCTGTATCCCGTGCTCAGGAAAGGTCACGCAAAGCAATAATATCTTGTTTTCATTGCAGAAGGTATAAATACTTGCATTAGAGTTTCTTTCTTTTTCCAGCCCAACAAGTGCTTACATAGAATATTTCAGTATTTACTATTAACATCAGCAAGCAGAAATCATTAAAAAAAAGATCCTATTGCTATAATATAAAGAAACTGCTCTGTAAAGCCTGCATTGTGAGTTGGTGTGTCTTTAACTCAGCTGTCAGAAATAGGACTTGAATGATCTGTTCTAGGATGATCAATGAGTGCACAATTGTCTTACAGTGTTTGGGGGGAAAATTGCCCTTCTCTATCAGTTGTGGGTGAAAAACAGATATGGATGTTTTTCTTTGAGAAAATAAACATCTAATGCATTTTTGTGAATCAATTGTGGAGCATTTTATAATGAAAGGGTACAGATGAATATTATATCTCTGTGTTCTTTTTTTTTAATAATTTTTATTGGTGTTCAATTTACCAACATACAGAATAACACCCAGTGCTCATCCCGTCAAGTGTCCCCCTCAGTGCCCGTCACCCATTCACCCCCACCCCCTGCCCTCCTCCCCTTCCACCACCCCTAGTTCATTTCCCAGAGTTAGGAGTCTTTATGTTCTGTCTCCCTTTCTGATATTTCCCACACATTTCTTCTCTCTTCCCTTATATTCCCTTTCACTATTATTCATATTCCCCAAATGAATGAGAACATACACTGTTTGTCCTTCTCCGATTGACTTACTTCACTCAGCGTAATACCCTCCAGTTCCATCCACGTTGAAGCAAATGGTGGGTATTTGTCGTTTCTAATGGCTGAGTAATATTCCATTGAATACATAAACCACATCTTCTTTATCCATTCATCTTTCGATGGGCACCGAGGCTCCTTCCACAGTTTGGCTATTGTGGACATGGCTGCTAGAAACATCGGGGTGCAGGTGTCCCGGCGTTTCATTGCATCTGAATCTTTGGGGTAAATCCCTAACAGTGCAATTGCTGGGTCGTAGGGCAGGTCTATTTTTAACTCTTTGAGGAACCTCCACATAGTTTTCCAGAGTGGCTGCACCAGTTCACATTCCCACCAACAGTGTAAGAGGGTCCCCTTTTCTCCGCATCCTCTCCAACATTTGTGGTTTCCTGCCTATATCTCTGTGTTCTTTTCACAAATTAGGATGTCATCATTAAAATTTAAGTACATTTTAAACCAACAATTTCAGTTTAACATAGTTTCCATTCTCCAAACTGGATTGTCCCCTGATCCCAGGCAGAACCTTCTTAGGGAGAGAGGCATGTTGCATATGTATTTAGAAGGAGTTTTTGCTGTAATATAATCTGCAGAGTCCTTTGAATGGACTAGGCCCATGATGCGGCCCATGATGCCTCATTCCCTGTGTCTTCTTATTCCAGAGAGAGAGATGATCTATAGTGTCCCAACCAGGGGAGACCTTCATGTTTGGAGGAAGTTTTCTTACAATCTCGTAGTACTTTGGTTTATGATTCCTTTGCACCATCTTAAGAATGGTCTCAAACACAGCAAATTGGTTTGATTAGTGATTTTTTTAACCTATTAATGGAGCAGTGGTACTTTAAAATGATAAAGTGTGGTAATTTTAAGAAAATACAAAGTTGGACAATATCTTTGAAAGGTTAGCAATAGTTGAATATACACACACACACAGGGCATAGGCAATCTATATACAGGGCATATTGTAGAGGACGTGTTTAAGGATAATTTTCAGAGAGAGAAAGTAAATGGTTGCTCTGATTTAACTCCTTTTAATTTGATTTAATGTGATTTTTAGTGATGAAGTGATTTAATTGCTATAATTTCTACCATGCCATCTTACTTTCAAGACTTTAATATTAAAATGGATTCTAGCCAACTCTTAATCATCAGTTTATGCATGTTTTGAATGAGAAGGGATTGGCTTCTCTATTTCATGCAGTCTTTTCTCTGACACATTGACTTGCTTAAATTTTTCTTTTAAATGCAAGCCCCCATTCTTAAAAAAAAATGTATTGGCTTCATTATCTTTTAAAGTCATCCAGAAATGTCATTAACCTGACCCTTTGAACCATTATTTATCCCACTAGTATCAGGCTCACTAATATTCCTAATACTTGTGTATTTTCTTTTTGATTTCT